CCCACAACCCTCACCATCCTCACCAGGGAAGCTTGCAGTATAGCACCTGAAGTTCATTCAGAGGTGTGTCAAAAGCCCATTTCTCCAGGCATCTAATCTACGTCCTCCAATACAGTCTTTAAGAATAATAAAGCTGAGAGTCTGATCTCTATTGATCTGACCCCTTTACCGATATCTCAGCTGGCTCTAGACTTAGGCCAAAAAGAGACAGTTCTTTCAAAGAAAGAACTAAACACTTAAGATTTATAGGCACAGAATGGTAGCAGGGTCAGGGTTTACTCTTCAGAGACCTTTACCAACGTGTGTGGGAGTACTCAGGGTTCTTTCCCAGGCAAATCCAAGATCGCATCTGTACTCAAGAACTCCTGGCCAACATGCGTCAGGCCTATTGATTCAGCTGTGTGGAGCCCAGAGGTTCAAGGAGCACGCACAGCTGGACAACCAGACTACAGAGACCCCCAGTACAACTCATTAACTACCCAAGGGAGAGAAGGGACCCAATAAGTTCACAATCTGTGGTAGGCTGTGTAGACTTTTAGGCAAGTCTCTTAATCTCTCCAACTCTGTTCCCTCATCTAGAAAAGGGGTATGAGGATATGACAATATCTACTCAACAGGTATTAACATTGCTGTTAGGAAGAGCAACAAAGAAGATATAAGGTCAAAATGCTCCTAAATAATGCATTTAAAGGAATAGGGAAATACTATTATTTTTTAAAAGAATAAACATGCCTAGTCTTTCCTCCTGAATCACATGCTCATCATTCAGAACCAAACAGGATAGCAGAGCTCTGATCAGGAGCCACCCCTATGTGCCACAGTGCTTCACGTCACGTCTATTTTAGTAGATCTGTTAACTAACAGCAAGGGTGGTGTTTTTTGTTTTAGTTTTTTTTTATGAATTATTTATGTATTTATCTTTGGCTGAGTTGGGTCTTCGTTGCTGTGCACGGGCTTTCTCTAGTTGTGGCAAGCAGGGGCTACTCTTCGTTGCGGTGTGTGGGCTTCTCATTGCGGTGGCTTCTCTTGTTGCGGAGCACGGGCTCTAGGCGTGCGGGCTTCAGTAGTGAGGCTCACGGGCTCTAGAGCACAGGCTCAGTAGTTGTGGCACACGGGCTTAAGTTGCTCCACGGCATGTGGGATCTTCCTGGACCAGGGCTCGAACCCATGTCCCCTGCATTGGCAGGCGGATTCTTAACCACTGCGCCACCAGGGAAGCCCAAGAGTGGAGTTTTTAATCAATTGTTCCTAAAGAGCACTTAGTCTACAAAACCAGAACATGATACATCAAATTCCTTTAAATTACCTGTGCTTATTGCCTTTTCCTCCTATCCTGATTTATTAATAAATACAATTATAATAAGCTGCTCTTTAATAGCCCATTGGTATGGTAATAATTTAGCCTTGCCCAATCATCTCTAATAAAACTTATTTTGAAGTGGCTTCTTTTTAGCAAAGATTGCTAACTCCCCCTGGTTTTTCTTACTAGTGAATGTGCTGGTCAACCATAAACAACGAAGCAGAAGCTCCTTAGGGTAATGCCTAGTGAGTTAGAAAGAAGCAAGAAGAAAGTACAGCAAGAAGGTGAGATGCACACAAAAACCCTGTCTCAGCTTTCCTGAACTCAGTCCAGAGGTTTCCTTCTTAAGCTAGGAAGGATTTTTCCAAGACGAGATGATACACATGTCTTAATAGCATGGGAAATGTGCCTAGTACCTAAGACAAAAAGGAGGTCAAAGAAAACTAGGATGAACTCTATATAATAATGTCTGGGTTAACTATCCTGCATTCCTTTTTTCTTTCACTGTGGTAGCACACACATAATTAAAAATTTACCGTCTTAACCATTTTTAAGTGTACAGTTTAGTAGTGTTAAGTATATGTACATTGTTGTGCAACTAACTCCCAGAACTTTTTTATCCTGCAAAACTGAAACCCTATACCCTTTAAACAGCAACTCCCTCTACGCTGCATTCTTGACTAAACAATCCAAGAGAGGGTCCTTCCTTTCTCTCACAAGCCTCTAGTCAAAATTTGCCCATAACCTTAATGATTTAGCCATTTGAAAATCTCATCCTACTAAACAGTCTTTAGAACTCAGGCTTCCGGGTGACCAGAACTCCCTGCATAACTCTGGGATTCGCATATGCCAGCTTTCGTCAGGTAATAATTAAAGCTACCAATGGTCTGTGCCCATGCTGAGCTATGGTCTAGGCTAGATAAGTGAAATATTAAAATGTCTGTAAATGGGTTTCCCTGGTGGCGCAGTGGTTGAGAGTCCGCCTGCCGATGCAGGGGACGCGGGTTCATGCCCCGGTCCGGGAAGATCCCACATGCCGCGGAGCGGCTGGGCCCGTGAGCCATGGCCGCTGAGCCTGCACATTCGGAGCCTGTGCTCCGCAACGGGAGAGGCCACAGCAGTGAGAGGCCCGCGTACCGCAAAAAAGAAAAAAAAAAAGAACCCATGGTTGTCAAAGCACTTTGTAAGACTAAACAGATGAGAGGGATTACAACCAGGGAAGCAAATGGGTTCATCATTAAAGATGCTCTGGCCAGGAAATGAGGAGATGGAGCATCAAGATGCAGATCAACCACTGCCTGGCTGAGGCACCCTGGGTATGTCACCTGCCATCCAGGATTGCTCGTTTGTGAAATAGTGACTAAACTCCCTCCTTGACTGCCTCACAGCTTTGTGTGGAGGAGCAATACACCGGGTGTCAGTGGAGCAGTCACATGGGGAGTATACATTAGCTAGGGCGCCATTATGCTCTATGCGGTCTAACTACCCACAGACTTGCTCAAGTTAGAAGCATTGCTCAACTTTGCAGATGTCCTTCTGGGCTGCTTCACAATAAATTTACAAGTGCTTGTTTTTACAAATGCATTAGAAGACCTGTTGATTGAAAGGCAGAGTAGGAATTTTTATTGTTTCATTTTTTTAAAGAAAAATCTTAATTTTAATAATTTACTTTTAAAACGAAACCTACAAATGCTAATACTATACTTCTTACGTTTCCCTCCTGTTTCTTCCTTTATATGTCTTTAAACCTTTTCCTCTCTGCCCTCTTTCCAACTCAGAAAACGCACAAATCTCACTCATTTCTACTTAAAGTAAAACCAGCCAAAAAGATAACTTTCGATTTTGTTTTCTCTCCTGAACTTCTCCCACTCCTTCTCTTCATAGGCAAAAGCTTCAAAAAAGAGTTGACTCTCACTTTCCCTACTTCCCCTCCTCCCATTCATCTTCCACTGCAGCAAGGAACCCTTGCTGGCAAGGAACCCTCTAAGCTAAAGGTCTATGATGACCTAACTACAAAATACAAAGGATGCTTTCCAGCCTTTATCCACGTAGACCTCTTTGCAACACCTGGCTCTGCTGACCTCATTCCAGAACTCACCCCTCCCCAACCCCTTGCCCACCTTGCAGCTACCATCTCATTTAATCGTCCTGTCCCTCAAACCTCCATAGCTCTGCATGAAATCATTCCATTAGCTGCTCCTTCAATGTCTGTGTTCATGGGGCTTCCTTCCTTCACTCTCTTCTCATTTGTTTTGCTCTCTCTTGGAAAGAGCACGTACAGTTCATGCCTTCAGAACTACACATATGCTGAAAATTCCCAGTCTACCGATACAACACAGAGCTCTCTCTGAATGCTATGCCCTTAATTTATCACTGCTTTCAGTAATATTTTTTAAATTTATTTTATCCCAGCTTTCAAACTCAGCATTATATAAATGTTGATGCAGTGGTTACCTAGGAAACTATCAGATCAGTTAGAGGACAACTATGAGGGAGGAATACATATTTCTGAAGATAGCTCAGATTTCCATGAGCAGAGACATATGAAATCAAAAAGTAGTGTGGAAAATAAACGCCTTCAGATCCTGAGAAGTTATTTTCAACTTCATCTCCATTCCTCAATCCTTATAAATATTGCACCGCTTCCTTATATTGTGAGGGTTGAGTCCTAAGACAAACCGCCAAGCCCATGAGTATTGTGAACATACTCAAAAGTAGCTGAAATTTCAAATGCAAAATCTAAAAGGCCGAAGACATGCTGTATAAAGTTTAATAAACCCGTAAGGATAAATGGAAAGCACTTTTTCATGGTATAAAATAAAGCTTTAACAAAGTTGCCTTAATAACCGAGAAAGGAACAACTTACATATTCAAAAAGTGACAACTGGCTAAAATAATTCTAAAATGGGCGTAAAGGAACAGTACTTAGCAATCAAATATGATATTATAAAACACATTCACTGGAAAGGAAAAATGTCACGATGTATTATGCTTTGAAGTGGGTTACCAAAGAGTAAAATTAATATGATCCCAATTTAGAAAAAAAATTAATATCTCTATATATGAAGAGAAAAAGAAAGAATACACACCCAAAAAACAGTTATGGTGATGGTAATACATATTTTATCTCTCCTTTGTGCTTTTGTATATTTCCTGAATTTTCTATGACAAATGCTTCTTAAATGCACTTTTAAGCCAAAGTTACAAGAAGAATACAGTTAGAAAAACAATCACAATACAATGTTCAATGAAAAAGGTATGGCTACATCTATATCAAGGAGCACATGCCTAGAGAAAAGACTGGAATGAAATATACCAAAATTCTAACAGTGCTCATAATTCTTCTTTCCTCCATCTTGCCCGATGCTTGGCAATATGGTTACATTATTTCATAATAAAATAAATGGTTAAAATTTTAAAAGATGAAAAAAGGCTCAAGAGGGAGTTGTACCCCAAGAGTTGAATTTGGTTTTGTTTCTGCTTTTATGTAACAGGGTGACCTACTCACTAAATCCCTTAGGAGCTCTGAGACTCCTTCCCTAATTTGTAAAATGGGCACTTATACCTGCCCAGGCCTCTCTCCACCCTACCCATTAGTAAAACACAAAGCCCTATCTAACATCAACACTGCAATTTACCCAAGGGTTGGACTGCTCTCCCCAGTCCCCCAGAAACACCCACACACACCCCCTTTCCTGACCTTTTCACGTTAGATGTTCGGTGCTGTCCGGATGCCTGTTTTGTATCAAACGATGAGAAGTGTTGGCTACTTGTTGCCATATCTACACGAGAAGGCCTGTTAATAAAAAGGCAGTGAGGTTGTTACTTCTTTGTCTTACAGGAAAAGTCTACATAGATTAAAGTATACAACACAAGTCGTTCAATTATTTATATTATCTCACTTCCATTTCTTATCAGTTTTGAAAATCAAACAGAATCCACTCAGTTACATGGTGAATATTCCTGAAATACAGCCCCAATAAAATAAACTTATTTTTCTTTATATTCCAGTACACAAAAAAGAAATTAATGAAATCACCCCCCAAAACTCTCCACCCAAAGATAACATTGTAGCTTGTATATATCCTTCCAAATCTTTTCCCTATCTATCTGTCTATATTTTTCTTGATTGAAATGGAATATTACTGTAGGGGAGGAAAAAGTTTTTGTCAACCCTCTTAGGGTCACTGGCTGGGTCTGGAAATTAAACTGACAAAGACAGATCAACAAGAGAAAAGCACACAAAGTTAATTGAATGGTTACATGTACGTGAGAGCCTTCATAGAACAATAAAGACCCAAAGAAGTGAGCAGAGCAGAAATCTTTTATACCTTTCTGACAAAGAAACAATACATTTGTCAAGAATTGGAAAAACAAATGGTGAAGGCCTAGGGGTAAATGGTGAAGGAATAACTTGGAATAAATAAGGGTTAATTTAACAAGATTTGTCTGCAGACTCTGAGCTGTACGAGTCTGTCTCCAGTAAAAACAGAATTTATGTCCCACCTTTAGGCAGAAAGAGGGAACTTTTTCAGTGTTTACTGCTTCTTGATTGCCTTCAGCTCAAAATGATTTTTATGTCAAAGAGGCATACGTATTTTGGGATAACATATTCTGGTTTCCTTTATTATATGCTTACTTTATCCTGAATCTTTTCTTCTCAACAAATACAGAGTTGCTCTATCATAGCTAGTGTCCACATAGCAGTCTACTGAATAGAGGTAACATAATTTGTTACCTATCCCTCATTTTGAGGCATGCTAGTTGCTCCCAATGTTTGGCAATTATCAATACAAACAATACTGCAATAAGCCCCTTTACTCACTTGCCTGATTATTTCCTAAGGATAAATTCTGGAGTGAAAGGGCAAGTATTTTGTAAAATATCTTATGTGTTAAAAACTGGCTTGTTTCCCATTATATATTTATACCACAGAATGCTGAGGTAACATAGAGGAGCTGGAGACCAATCTGGTTTGCAGAATCTTAGGCCATATTTTGACCTAGATCTACCGCAGAGACACACGCAGAGGCAAGCCTACTGGAGAGAAGGAAACTTCCATAGAGCTTAAGAATAAGCCCTGCCCTGTATATAACAGAATCGTCAACCTCCCACTGACGATTCACCTTAACTGTCCACAGCCATAGAGAAGAGAGGAAAGGATTATTGACCATCCCTTTAGGAAAGCTTCTTTTTTTTTAAATTCTAAGATGTCAATGCCCTTATTGTACATTAAGTGGAGTATGATTATATTCTACCTTCAGACTTCCCAATACCCGGTAATATTTTATATTCAACATTCATCTTTTCTTGAACATGTCAAGTTTCCTAAATTTCATGTATCAGGTTAGGGGAAAATCAAGGTTCTTTTCACAAGGGTGGTTGGGTGTAGGTGATGGGAGAAAAGAAAACGCCACGGTTAAGTGGAAATGTAGCTTGAAGGCATGTTATTTTCTATCACAAGAGCTTCTTACCAGGAGAATGGAGGAAGCCCTAAGCACTTAGGTAAACCAGACTCCAGGGTACTGACTGACATCTCAGTTTACAAGCAGGGAAAGAGGAATAAGATAGATTCAAAGGGCTGTCTAGCCTTTCGGACCCTTCTTGCCTATCTGTTCCCTTACAGATTCATTTATAAGGACTAGAAAAATATGTTCTCTGAAATGTATATAAAAATGTCCCCATTTCTCATTTGCCTTATCTTTAATTTTAAAATTCTCCCCAATATTGAAATTTTTATATAATCAAAATTAATATTTCCCTTTAATATTTCTGATTTTGAGGGCATACTTAGGAAAACCTCCCCTCCACAAAGATTATATAACATAATTTTACCATGCTGCTTATTTTTTTAATATTTAATATGTTGATCCATTTATAATTTGAGTATATGATACAAGATAGTGCTGTGCATTTTTCTTAACCTTTTGCTATTTTTCCCAAGATAATTTTTAAAAACCTGTATCTTTACCCCAATGATTTGACATACCATATATATAAAACACTAAATTAATTAAGTTCTGCTAAAATCAAGTCTGTTGTGTCAGGTAACTGTTGCATGTTTCAAAGCTACAATTATAGCATCTTTACCAGGCAGAAAACACTTAAATTTAGCAGAACTTAATAATTATTAATAAAACAATACTAGATATTTTTTCATTTTTCTGGGGTACAAAAGTTTAGTTTTTTATGCTTTTCTATACATGTACATTAAGTCCCAGAAATTCTACAGTATTTTAAAATTCTTATTAGTATCACAATAAGTACATCATGCTACAAACTGATTTTTTTATTCAGTTTTTTTTTATAGACCTAATTCATTCACTTACTAGATAGTAAACTACTATCTAGTATTTTATCAAGAACCTATTTTCCCCTTTTTTATGAGAAATGCTTAAATACATAGAGGAAATAATTTAACACACAAGTATATCTAGAATCCACTTTTGTGTACAGTGTGATCTAAATTTAATTGTTTCCCCTATGGATAGGCAATTATCTCAACAGCAATGAATAACTCATCCTTCAGCTACTCAGTAGCTTTGAAATAAGATTAAAAAAAAAAGATTGCATGCCCACTCAATGCCATCTTGGAGCACTGTCTAACAGGCCCACCCAAGGAATATTTCATTCTATAAGGGATATATCCTTGTTTGACTTGCTATTTTCTATTGATTAAGGTCTATATTCTATAAAATAATATGTTAACTTGCAGATTTTTTTGGTCTGGTACATATGCAAATAATTTGGTATGGTTATGGTTTTATTGCCTTGTAGGAGATTAACCAGTTTTGTATATAACAAATCTTATTCGAACATTTTTCCTTCAATTCCCCAAATGCTCTTGGAACGGTTTCACCATCTTGATGATTTCCTCATTGATAAGTAAATGTTTGACATGCGTTCACGCTAAAATTATCACACTCCAACGTAATGAATGACGCTGTTATCTCTAACCCAGGGCAGGTTTTCATACATGTACAGGGCAGTTTCAGGCACTCTTTGGATCCATTCACTTATTTGCCTCTGTCTGCACCATTCACACAACTTTCATTAGCTTGGCTTTATTAGATCCTATATGACAATGGGCAAGCCCTCTACTTTATTAAATGCTCTTTGGGGGAGGGGGGGTGTCTGGGACTGCTATTGCAACTTCATTCTTATTTACAAGTTTTAGAATCAGTTATTGTAAAGTTCCAAGAAAAGTCCTGCTGAGGTTTTGAGTGGGACTTCATTATATTTTCAGAGATTTTGCAGAGAACTGTAAACTTTACAATATTATATTTTCCACATCTATACACATTTATTCAGGTCTTCTCTTACTTCCTTCAATAAAGGAAGGAAATATACATAACACACTGCACTGAGGTACGTGTACCCTTGCAAAGACGCCATGCTAGATGTTCCTTATATTGCTTTAGTTTTAGAATGTGTACCACCAAAGCAAGCACAGTTAGTAAAATTTTAACTGAAAAAAATGACTCGTCTGTTCCACTTCTGAGCATAACCTAGACGTTAAACTCAAATGTCAGGAAAAAAAATGTATTTTTAGCTAGAGAAAACTATTGTTATTGGGTTTATAGAGGCTAAGAAAAACAGTACCTCGTATTTCATTTACAGGTATAGGTATGCTAGAAAATGTGTCCTTATTTTGCCCTGATTTTACTTCTTTAATTTCTGTACGTTTTTAAACAGCTTTACTGATACATTATTCACAGACCATACAATTCACTCACTTAAATTATACAATGTTTTTTAATATTCATAGATAGTATGTCACTTTCACCACAATCTAATTTTACATCTTGTCACCCAAAAGATACTCTATATCCATCCACCAGCAATCGCTTCCCATGTCCCTCCACCCCTAGCCCTAAGAAACCACTAATTTACTTCCTGTATGTACACATTTGCCTATTCTGGATGTTTTATATTAATGAAATTATATAATATGTGGTCTTTCATGACTGGTTTTTTTCACTTAGCATAATGTTTTCAAGAGTCATTTGAGCTGTTGCATGTATCAATACTTCATTCCTTTTTACTGCCAAATAGTAATCCATTGCATAGATATAACACACTTCCTTTGTCATTTCATTAGTTTACGGGTATAAGGGTTATTTCCACTTTTTGGCTATTATGAATAATGCTGCTATTAATATTCATGTACGAGTTCTTGTGTGGACATATACTTCATTTCTCTTGATATATAACCAGGGGTGGAATTGCCGAATCCTATGGTAATTCTATGTTTGACATTTTGAAGAGCTGCCAGACCATTTTCCAAAGTGACTGTGTGATTTTACATTCCCACCAGTAATGTATGAAAGTTTCAGTTTCTCCACATCTCGGACAACACGTGTTACTGTCCATCTTCGGGGGTGTGATGGTATCTTACTGTGGTTTTGATTTGCATTTGTCTAATGACTGGTACTGAGTATCTGCTTAGCTACATATTAACCATTTGTACGTCTTCTTTGGAAAAATGCCTGTTCAGGTTCTTTGGCCATTTTTTAATTGGGTTACTTGCCTTTTTATTATCGAGTTTCATACTGCTCTAATTTTTAATCACTAGGTAGAACTATTCTCAGATGAAAAGCTTACAGCTTCACTTTTTATACTTTTTCTCTCATTCAAATCATAGTTAGCAGAATCAATTCAAATTTAATTTCCCCCAATAAATCCGATACAATGAGCTATGTTCCTGCACGATGAAATATAAGCTAGCCCATTTAAAAAAGAAATAAAATAAAATTTCAAAAATTAATAAAAAGACACTTAATATCTTTGAGGCTT